ATAAGTCCTTTATAGTCATTTTACACAAACTCTCATATTAAAAAGCACTTCTAATAGTTTTATAGCCAAACACTCAACTGCTTTTTTTGAAAAGTACTTATCTAAAAGCACCAGCCAGAAGCTGCTTCTGCAAAAGCTACCGCAAGGCCAAACTAAGCTATTGGAAACTAGATAGGTTGCGGCCTAGCTATGCAACAACCCAAGGTTGTTTTTATCTGTCTTTCTTGATAAGTCATTTGTGTGTCATTAGTTTTAATGTGTAAAACAGTGGCTTCTATCACTTATTTACAAAAATGAGTGCATATGGTATGCCCAAAATCATTACTTGTCATCCCTAGTTAAATGAACAAAATGAAAAAATGATTAGTAAATTAGGGAAGTCAACAGATCCAGTCGAGGGCGGATAGTGCACATCCATTATCCTACTAAAAATAGTTCGAGTTTTACCAATACCCATACCTAAACATGAATTGGGTAGAAAATAAAATCATGTCCATATCCGATGTTTCATGTATTCATGGTTATCCATGAGTAATAATTTCTTCTTATAACTCTAACCAACATGTCACACATATATTGACATTGCATAAGAAAGGCACGACAATAAATCACTAAAAATTAAGAAAATATATTAAACAACACTATTCATAAAACAATTATATATGTATGATAAATATCAAAAAATTTAGAAAAATAAAAACTCTTTCGAAACAAAAATATATATGCATAATGCGTACTATCGGATGGGTTTGGGTTAGAGAGTGAGAAAACCATACACATCCATTACCCACAATATTCGGATCAATTTTACACATACCCACTAAAAAACCTTCGGGTTCAAGTTTTACCCTATCTAATTAGTTCGGATCCGAATGATATCCACAATTGTAGATATTTTTGTTATCCCTAATTGTAATAATGATATAGCATTATGAGAAATTATGAGAAATTCAGAACTCTAGAAGTTCGGAACTCTCAAATTGAGAAACACTTTGAAGAATATGGGCTAAGCCAAATCCCTCATGCAAAAAAATTACAACTAAGGATTATGCAGAAATTGCAAAATGCTAAAAAAGGAAAACATAAGCATGAAAAAAGAAACAGCCAATGAAATTGGGCACATATTAGCAGGATAGAGATAAACATAGAATTGTAGTACATGATAGCAAAGAGGGTTAGGCAAGCTTTATCTTTATATAACACTAGGTGGCGATGTCGCGCCATGTCGCGGGAGGAGATGGCCTATCATCATGTATTATATGACCCGTTATGGTGTTTTATTAGTATTATTATCCTAAAATTAATTTTTTGTTAGCAGTTTTGTTAATAATATTGACTTGAAAATATGATATTGAATAAGAAAAGATATATGACAGTCAACATCCAATTTCAAAGATTTTGAAATTTTGGGCTAATAATATATTTACCTAAACCCAAGTAGACCCATTGATTATGAGTCGGGTATGGGTGACTTATATATGAGTATGGAAGTTGTAGCTGAGATTGGGTAGCGTATGGATATTTACTTCCATAATCTAAATGTGTATGAGTTGGGTGTGGACACCCATTTATTCGAAGGTGATTTAATTACACATACAAAAATTAGAACTATTTGTAGAGCTTCAAAATTTTAGGTACCAAAATGTAGTAAAAAAATTAGGTACTAAAATGTATTGTTCCATCAATATTTTGATTTTTGAGGACTTGTATGCTAAAAAAAATAAATTTAGGCTATAAATCTAAGATCTATTAAGTTTATGTACCGAACTATAATTTGCATAGTTGAGCCTTAATTCCTTTTATGGTGATGTATTTTAGATGATAATTATTTACTTTTTTTAGAAAAATGGAAACTATTTATTTGATATGTGTAGGTAGGGGTGGCTATAACGTCCGGTCCGGTTAAATTGGCCCAAATTGATCCTGTCCAGTCCGGTCTTTTTGAAAATATATGGACCGAAGATTGGATTGGATACAATCCGGTCTTGATCCGGTCCGGTTTTGATCTGGTCCGGTCCCAATTCGATCTTAATTTTACATTGAGATTGTGGGATTTGAGTGGCCTAAGGCCTTAAAGGGTGAGGAGTTGGTTAAGTTTTGTACTAAGTGCAAAGGTTTGTGACCGTTTATGCAAATTACCCTTAAGTTTTGGGTGTTGAGCTCTCTTATCCGGTCTTTATCCGGTTTTTTACCTCAAATCTAAGCCCAAAGATTGGATTGGATTGTTTACTATCCGGTCCCGGTCCGGTCTCGGTCCGGGTTATACGGTCCGGTTTCCGGTTTTTAATCCGGTCCCGGTCCAAATAGCCACCCCTATGTGTAGGTACCTAGTCAAATATATAATTGTTGAAAATCTAGCACGGGCGAAAAAGAAAAACTCTATAGAGAAGCAAAATGAATACAAACGGGAACTCGCTAAAAATTTGAAGCCTTCAAATCCCATAGTGGACAATGATGACTTTCTAATAAGTAATAGTCATATATCTTTATTTTTAATTGGACTTGACATTGAGCTGAAAACGTTAATTGGTTCATGGTTCAATTACTAATTATGGTTAGACGAAGAAGGCAATGAAAGAAATACATAAAGTGTTATGATTTTTATTACTGTTGATTTTTTGAAACATTGTTCTATTAAAATGTCATACAAAAACTTGGTACAGATCAATATCTTAATGTACTCGTATTATATTTTACTAAATATGTTGTCACATCACCGAATAGAATGCTCTTTTAAAAATGATCGTTATTATTTCAAATGGATATCATACATGTTTATTTGAAGTAAAAATCTCATCAAAGACCAAAATGGTCGAATCTTCTTCTACATATGAGTGATACAACATCTTGTATGGTACAAACAAAATTTATAATTTTATGTTACGGTGGATTGGATTTATGGATTCAAGTAAAATGTAAACATTGGACCAATATGTAAATTTTAAAAATTGTAGGTATGAAAATCTCATAAAGTTTAGATACTAAAACATAATTGTTCAATGATTTTACTTTAAATTTAAATTTGGGGTATCAAAATGTAGAATATACATTATAATGACTAAGTTATAATTTAATTAAATTTGAGGTATCAAAATGTAGTTATTTTGACAACAGTCACCTCACTTCACGTTTATATATAATAACTTGCCATCCACCGCTCTTTGCCGCGGATGATAAAAAGTATTTTGAAAATTTTCTTTTGTGTATAATTGGGCTTAGCAAATTAACCTAATGCACAATTTTTTTTAACGTTGATCTGGAATAGTATAGGTTTATTCATTTATATCCATTACACTCACGCCTTCAAATCTCATAGTGGAAAATGAGGACTTTCTAATAAGTAATAACCATATATATTTATTTTTAAATAGACTTGACATTGAGCTGAAAAAATTAGTGGTTCCTAGTTCAATTATTCATTCTCTAGATTGTTGGTCGGTCGTGTATGGACTCGTTCATACTTATGATTAGAATATATAAAAATAGTATACTAATTAGGGGTAGATGAAGATGGCAAAGAAAGAAATGAAGAAAGGGTTGTCGAAGGCATGTGAAAAATGAAACTGAAAGGAAATAGATGATGGAAAGATTTTGACCAATTCTTTTAGTTGGTCATCAATACACCAATCAATCCTTTTCACTGTAATAATTTATTGACACTTGCTTTTGTAGATGTCTCATAATCTGTTACATGTAGTTAGTAGACGTTTGTTTAGTACCCCACAAATGTACTAAATGAATTTAAAAATTTGCTCTTGCAATATTTTAGAGTCGTCTCTCTTTTATCATTTATTTAATGTTTCACATAATGAGAAAATATAAAATGGTTTAATCTTTTCCTGCCGTTGAGTGATACAACATCTTGTATGGTAAAAACTAAATTTATACTTTTATGTTATTGTGGATTGGATTCATAGATTGGTTCAAAAGGACTGGTGGATTGGATTCATCGATTCAGTGAAATCTAAATATTGGACCAATATGTAAATTTAAAAAATTGTAAGTATGAAAATCTCATCAAATTTAGATACCAAAACATAATTGTTCAATTATTTTACATTAAAATTAAATTTGGGTATCAAAATGTAAAATATATATTATAGTGACTAATTTGTAATTTGTTAGGCAGTGACTAATATGTAATTTGTTTGGTAACAGTAACCAAACTTCAGTTTTATATATTTTAAATTTAGGGTATCAAAATGTAAAATGTACATTATAGTGACTAATTTATAATTTGTTAGGCAGTGACTCATATGTAATTTGTTAGTTAACAGTAACCAAACTTCAGGTTTATATATATTAATAATTTTCCTCAATGAAATAGAAGAGAATAGGGAAAGGAACAATGGAATGCCTTTTAGACGACACCATTCAAATGATTCTTAGATTCGAGTGGCTAACACCAATCATTAGAACAAAATAAAAAGCAACCACCAAAATGGAGAAAATCAAACAACTAAATGGAGAGAGGGCAAGTGCTTCGATTATTGATTGATACCTAAGTACAAAGCTTTGGGGTTTCCTTTATATAAAAAAAAAATGAAACTATTGTAACAATTAAAATTATGACAGTATCAATAAATTTCTCGACCAACTAGGACAAAAGACTGATTCTCGAGTAATGCTTTTGCCAAGTAATATGTGGCCCTTGTAAATTCAGGTCTTGACATGGTTGAAATGAAAACAATACTTATAGTTCGAATTAATCGAAAACATAACATTTAAATCTTCACTTGAACAATTTTCTCAATGCAATGAACTACCTCTGTTCTCCTCGAGTAATAAAATGTGGCCAAAACATTAACTAAAAAAAGACTACTTTCGATGCTGCAAAAGATAGATAAATTATTGCCTATATGTTTTATCTTTTACTTCTATTTTTTCAATCCCGAAAAGAACACCCAATTTCTAAATAAATGCACTATCAATGTAGTCAAAATCAAGATTTTAAGTAAAATCGAAAACTGAGGTAGAATCGGAATCATAGATTTTTTTTTACAAAAGGTAATCATATATTGATTGGAACAAAAAGATAGTTACATCCTGGAATTCAGCCAAGTCTAAAAATCAAAGAAGCGACACGTAGTCAGGTACAAAGACAATGCCTTTCTAGCTACCAAATGAGCTACCCTATTGCTAGTCAGATCTACAAATCGCACACTGAAGCCCGTATTCAAAGCGAAAGTACGCACAATCTCTTCTAGAATAGTCTCCATCCGATTATCTCGCACATCTGCCCGGCTGACCTTATAAATTACCACTTTGGCATCTCCTTCAAATCTCATCTCCGAAAAGCCCTGCCCCAAACACCAAGTGACAACCACCCGGAGGACAAGTAACTCCACCACCATTGGATCATCAATAAGAGGAAACTGGACCCAGTAGCCCAAAGGACCTCTCTAGCAGGATTGAGGATAACCATCCCTCCTGCTGAATGCGACACATTCCTTACTGCCCCATCCCACATACACATAGGCACAATTAGCCCATCTGGATCCACGGGGGGAGGCAGTGGACTGGACAGTGAGAGGGGTTGTTCAACCGGTAGACGGATCCATTCCTCAACCTGCTGATTATACTGCCTCATCAAGGCAGGGATCTTGAAATGTTTACCTTCAAAGATAACCCAGTTCCGAGATCTCCATGTCCTCCAAAGGACAGCAATCACCACCATGAACTGCGAAGGTTGATGTATAATAGACAAAATTTCTTCAGAAATAGAGGGAACGTAAGAAGAGGCAAACCTTGGCCAAATACTGTAACCCCGGATGGTCCCAAATGGCATGGGCGACGGGGTAATCCAGGAACAGATGTTCCATTATCTCAAAATCAGCCCAACACACAGGACATCTTGGGAGAATCGCAATCTTTTTTCCAGTAAGGGCTTCTGTCGTCGGTAGAATTCTATTAAACATTTTCAGACAAACACCTTCAGCTTCGGTGGAATGTTAGCCTCCCACAACCGGATCCAAGGCTTTGTCCCGGAGACATTCTGTGACCTAATTTCCCTCCACGAATTAGACCTCAACAACAACCAATTCCCCGACGAGTTCCCTCCTCCGTCCTCGACATCCCCAATCTTGTATACCTCGACTTCCGATTGAACTCCTTCTCGGGTCTAATCCCCGATGCCCTCTTCGACAAACGCCACGACGCCATCTTCCTCAACAGCAACCAATTCGACGGTGAAATCTCGAACAATCTCGGCAAGTCCCTGGCCTCCGTCATCAATTTGGGCTACAACAAGTTCACCGGACAGATCCCCTTCACCGGACAATCTCCGCAAGTCCCCGGCCTCCATCATCAATCTCGGCAGATCCCCTTCACCGGACATATCCAGTGACCATACTTCGAATTTACCTTATGTTTTATGTTTTACTTCTATTTTTTTCAATCCCGAAAAGAACACCCAATTTCTAAACAAATGAGCTGCAAGTATAAAAATTAGGGTTAATATATTTGTATGGCCTGAACTTTTCACATAATAAACATCCTGGCCAATCTTTTCGATCTATAACATCATGGCATGAACTATACACCAAACTAACGAAATTGGCCAAACCCGTTGACCGTTATCTTTGACGGTCAAACGGGTTGACTAATGGTCAATGCGCCACGTCGCCGCCAAGTCAGCACCTTTCACTTAAATTTTTTTATATTTTCCACCTATTACTATTTATTTTTCTCATTTTGAATAAAAAATGAAAAGGAATTTCTGGTCCACTTTATTTTTTTTCAATTTTCAATTTTTTATTTAAAATGAAAAAATAGTAATAGGTGGAACATATAAAAATTTCTAAGTGAAAGGTGCTGACTTGGCTGTGACGTGGCGCGTTGACCGTCAAAGATTACGGTCAATTTTTCGGGTTTGGCCAATTTCGTTACTTTGGTGTATAGTTCAGGCCATAATGTTATAGATCGAAAATATTGGCTAGGATGTTTATTATGTGAAAAGTTCAGGCCATACAAATATATTAACCCTAAAAATTACTATGAGCTTTTTCTCCAGAAGAAAACTAGTTGAACTTCTATTCAATTCTTATCCTTACAATATATGTAGAACTTTGCACAAGATAAGAGAAATAGAACAAAACATTTTAAACATGCGGACTTGTTTGCTACGTCAGCGCTTAACGGACTTCATTAACGGAGTTGGACGGAAACTAACGGAGGGTGACCAAACATGACATGTTTTACCAAACTTAGTGGCCATTATTGATATTAATTTTTTCTAGTGACTAAACATGACATTTTTTAGTATACCCAGTGACCAAACTAGGAATTTACCCTATGTTTTATCTTTTACTTCTATTTTTTCGATCCCGAAAAGAACACCCAATTTCTAAACAAATCTACTGCAAGTATAAAAATTACTGAGAAGCTAATTACTTTGTTCCCCTTTCCAATTTTTTCGGTAATTGTTTATTCTCCTTTCTTGTTAAGAAAATGAAACAACAAATTATGTCAATCCAGTAGCTTTATCTTCATCTCTCTCCCACTCGAAGAAAAAGCTTCTTCATCCTGGAAATGGCAGCTACACGGTTCACGCTCAACTCCCACCCATCGTTAGTGAATAGGGGATTTTTTCTTTCTTTTACCACGACTAAACGAAAATAGAAGAAAGAGAGTACAGCAGCGGCAAAGGCAAATGGGGCAGCGGCAGCGATAAAAGAAAAAGTAGCCCCCTGCCGTCGTGAAAACCAACGTTACCGAGGACGATCCGTCGACCCCTGGTTGTTCCCGAGCACGATTTGCCGCCAGAAGGAAGAAGAAGACGCGCATAGCAGGAGTTTCTTATTTTTTTGGTTGGAGTCGGACGGGAAAAAAATCCGTCGGCGGCGAGCTGTTCGGTTTCCTAAGCTGTCGCTCGCAACCGGTGATGGCTTTTCAATCCGTCCTTTTTTTATATAAAAAAAACTATCCTGAATGTGAATATGTCTTGGACGGGTAATTGCGAATGTAATTGTGAAATAAGGATATTAAAGTAAATTTAATATAATTAGGGCGACGAATAAAGATTTTTAGAGCGAGGAATAGTAATCCCAAAAATTACTGAGCTTTTTTCCAAAAGAAAACTAGTTAAACTTCTATTCATTTCTAATCCTCACAATATATGTAGAACTTTGCACAAAAGAAAAGAATAGAACAAAACATTTTAAAATGCAATTATATTTGTCACGTCAGCGCTTAACGGACTTTGTTAATAGAGTTGGACGAAAACTAACATAGAGTGACCAAACATGACAAGTTTTACCAAACTTAATGACCATTATTGATATTAATTTTTCCAGTGACTAAACATGACACTTTTTAGTATACCCAGTGATCAAATTTGGAATTTACCCTAGCTGAACTTTTATTTAATTATGATCCAGTGATCAAATTTGGAATTTACCCTAGCTGAACTTTTATTTAATTATGATCCAGTGATCAAATTTGGAATTTACCCTAGCTGAACTTTTATTTAATTATGATCCTCACAATATGAATATATATAGAACTTTGTACAAGAGAAAAGAAATAAAGCCTCACAATATGAATATAGGCTTAATTGCAAGTTTGGTCACTCGAATTGCTACAAAATTTCACGTTTGCCACTCAAATTAATTAATTCCATTTATAGTCACTTAAATTAGGTTAACAGTCCAAGTTTGGTCACTGGCCGTTAGTCTCCGTTAACTTTTGCTGATGTGGCGGTCAACTCTTATAGTTGACCGTTAAATGCATGACGTGGCAATTAAAAAATTTAAAAATTTAATTTTTAATAATTTCCACCTCATTATTAAAATAAATTAAAAAATGTCACAATAATTAAAAAATAATTTCCACCACATTGCAAGAACTGGCGCCGGATCGACCCCGACGGCTCTGCCTCCGCCTCGAAACCCTCCCACCCTGAAGTATCGATTCCTCATCGCCTCCAGATCCCCGATGGGGTTTCGGAGATATCGACCATCAATGGCGCGCTGGTCATCCGCAGCTGGGAGAGCGGGTGGTGTTTCTAGGGACGCCGGCAAGGCCAGATATTCGGCTGCTACAATCTCCGGTTCTGCTGGCCAACCAGCTTCGTCCGACTCCCCGAATCCACACTCAACGACACGATGGTAGCGGCGGCGGCGATCTCGGCCCCACCGACCGCCAGAAAGTGGGTGATCCTCCTAGGGCACCCGCAGCTTCAGGACGCTAGATGGGTGAGGGTTGCAATGGAATTGAGCCACAATTGGAAAGGGAAGCAGGGCCATACAAACAGGGATCCATGCTTCCAAATCCAGGCTTCCACAGGTAAAAGATTAAGTGCTCCCTCTCTCGCACCGACAAATTTGCAAAATTTCATTAACCCCTGAATTTCTGCTGCCGGAAGCGCGATGGAGCTTCCCCGATTCGTTTTCGCTGTTGCCATACCTGTATTTAATTCGGTTTGCAGAGCTCTTGATTCACGGGATGGTTCTAAAGCAGAGCTTTCTTCTGCGCAAAATGTCGGTGGTGAAACCGGAATGGTTGTCGTTTTTTATTAGATGGTAGAATAAAGAAAAGAAGTTTTTTTCAACTCTTTCGCAAACGTACCCCCATAGGCCATCGATTCCGATTATCAGAACGAAAAACCCCATAGATTCCTCTGTCTTTCCTACTTCATCCTCGCAACCAACCCTAGTTGACGGAGACTGATCAATAGACAGGCGTGGCGAGAATCGGTTCTCGAGTCTAACCAGGTTTCTTCTAAGCCAACTCGGCGGGAATAAGAAGCGTCGCCCTATGAGTACTCGCCCGCAGCAGCGAGGACGGCAGCGGCGACAGGTTCAGGCGGCCAACGCGGAAGTGGTGCAACTTGGTCGCCGGCGCCGACCAAAGGAAATAAAAATTTTATTTTTTATTTTTTTAATAGTTTTGAAAATGAGGTGGAAATTATAAAAATATTAAATATTATTTTTTATAATTTTTTAATTGCCATGTCACACATTTAACGGTCAAATATCAGAGTTGACTGCCACATCAGCGAAAGTTAACGGAGACTAACGGAGAGTGACCAAACTTGAATTGTTGAACTAATTTTAGTGACCAATGGAATAAACTAATTTCAGTGAAAAACGTGAAATTTTGTAGCAATTCGAGTGACCAAACTTGCAATTAAACCTATGAATATATGTAGAACTTTGCACAAGAGAAAAGAAATAAAACGGGTTAATTGCAAGGATGGTCACTGGGTTTACTAAAACCGTTCATGGTTGGTCACTGTAAATATTTAATTTCATTCATGGTCACTAAAATTAGTTCAAAAAGTTCAAGTTTGGTCACTCTCTGTTAATCTCCGTTAGTTTTTGCTGATATGGCAGTCAACTATTATAGTTGACCATTAAATGAGTGACGTGGCCATTAAAAAAATAATAAAATTTAAATATTTACAATTTCCACCTCATTTTACAACTATTAAAAATAAAAATAAAACTTACCTCCTCCGCCGTCGCCACCACGGATCTCTTTTCTGGAATTTTCCGAATTACCGTCCGTTCTTCCTCCTCCGACCTCCGTCAATGTCCCCGAAGTCGCCGTCGCATTGTCACCCTCGCCCCACTTCTACTGCTCAGGCATCCTCCTTCTCTCCTTTGGCTACTTCTCTTCTCTGTTTCTTTTGTGTCATTAGAAATAGCTCAAACGCCAAAGGAAGAAAAAAAGCTTGAGATCGTTTTTTCCATAGAAAAAAATTTGTTGTTTGTTCGCTGTTGTTTTTCCTGAGGAAAGAGGCAGGAGATTTTGTCAAGTAGTGTGATGGATTTTGAATTGCAATCGCAGCAGAAGGTGCAGACGAAGATGACTGCGGCGGCGACGAAAACTGGGACAGCAGTTTTGGGAGAAGGCGTCTTCGGAGACGTTGGCGCCATGACTGTCTTGCTCCCCAAGGACATTGAGCTTGTGGACAAATTCGACGACCCCCTTTCAGCAATTCCTTCTTCGTCGCTTTCGCTTTCTGGTCTCCAGTTCCCCGTTCGGCTCCCGAACATTGGCCTTGCAATCTGAGTGAACTTCTTTCTCTCTCCCTCCTCCATTGCTCGTTCTTTCCCCATTTTCTTTTGGCCCTGGACCGGAATGGAAATGTGGCGAAGGAGGGAGCGGACTTAGCGGGGCGCGGCGGCGGAGATATCGAGAGAGTAGAGAAAGCGGTCAGGGGGCGCGAATAGACTTAAACCCAGTGACCATCCTTGCAATTAACCCGAAATAAAACAAACAAAACATTTTAAACATGCGGTGAGCGTGGATCGAACACGCGACCTTCAGATCTTCAGTCTGACGCTCTCCCAACTGAGCTATCCCCGCTACTTGTTATACGTTTTGCTCCTTTTTCCACTCTAATAATTTCGTCAAAACCACACTAAGCTGCTTCAGCAAACCCGATTGACAAGTTCTCATAATCGAACACAGTGTGGTAACGTCCCATGAAAACATCTCCCAAAATCCTAACACACATCAAACATGGAACAATAGAAAATATTATTGTGGTATAGAGATATAGGAAATCTTCTACACATACTAAACAGCTCATCCGACACTATGGTGCCAACAATTGCGTGTGATGATCATTTGAAAAGCTATGTACATGATTTGCAGCAATAAGAAAATGGTACCAATAACCCCATAAAAAACGTAGTAGATAGTAAAGTAAAATCAAAGCATAGAGCCCAAGGTAAATTTACCACAGAGGGCCGCGAGGAGGTGGCATATCAAATGCTGAGAACCCACTGATGCATTGAGCTGCAATTCCATTCCCCACTTTAAGAATGTACTGATATCCACCACAAGTCACATAGTTACAATCGGAAATTTATTTAAGTCAAATAATTACTCCCATGATCCTAGAGATTGTGTATAGCATACCTCTTCTGGTGCAAGATTGAAACCCTTGCCACCAATCGTGAACGAGACAACAGGCATGGAAGAAAGACTACTACACTTGACGGCTGATTGTCCATTAGGACTGGGAAGCCTTTCACAAAGCTGTTAATCAATAAAATTAAGGAAACATGTGTTCAAAGAAAAAGATAGCAACCAACGATATGCATGGGGAGAACCGGAGAAGGAAGGCCATTTGGCTGAATACATGGGCGAACAACACAGTTTTACTTGCCTTATTTACGTATGTAAGAATCAGTTCTACTGTTTCATTTAACTTCAGCCGATTTTCAATCCACACGACCGCCATCTCACAAGCAGTGCACAGGGCATTGTCCACTGGTGTGTCTGTACTCTGACCCACCACAGTCTTAATGCCCATACTACAAGGAAACAGCTTAAGTAATCAGTATTAAGCATAATGGTGAATATATGATCATCTTGGATGCTATACAGCAAACCTTACCTAACACTGTGATACCCATTAGAGAAGCAAATGCCAATTTGGGAGCAGACTTGTTTTGGCAGTACCTGCAGAAGAAAAAGGTCAGAAATGCATATGTAGACAGTGGGAAAAGTGAAGCTACTGTTGGAAAAGAAGGAAACGAGATGATCATTACATCAGCTAAGAGCAATTCCAGTATGGTTTTCCCATAGAGTGACACAACTGTCTTGCATTCTTGACTGACAACGCCAGAAGCCCCAATAGCATGGTTGATTTGAGCAATCACAGTCTGCACAAAATAAGGGGATCCTTGTATCTCGAGTGACTAAACAATTTAAATGCTCAACTATTGAAATCGCTTGTAAAACGCCATTACCGTTGGGCCAGCCAACAAGGAAGTACCAGAATCAGCAATTGCCTTGCAGCCACCAGCACAAAATCATGAAACAGTAAGGCTGAAAGTTCAGAAAAATGAAATTCGAGTCTTTTAGTAATATGGGGGTTCAGGAGTTCAGATAACATACCAGTAGATTCAGAACTTATTAACACGTCGCCCATATCGAACTAGAAATCCAAAAATTTACAAAACTTGGTCAGGAAAGAAAATTAAGAATAGGAAACATGGAATATTCTCAGAAGCAAAATTGGAACCTAATCACCAACCTGCCAATACCCTTTCTGAGTAACAGGAACATAGGTATGCTTTCCCTTGTAATGACTAGGATCAGCCCCACCAAACACAATCTCTCCTCCTCCTTCACCTTCAACATTACGGTTCAACCAAAACGAAAAAACAGGTTTCTTTACAAGACCTTGATTAACCATGTTATACCTGCAAGAAGAACCCTGTAATGATCACTCACATCAAAGGAAAGGTATAATCTAAGTAAATCAAAGCAAATCAATACCACACGGGAACAGCATTTCCGACTGAAATCTCTTGAAATCCAAGCCCAAGGATGCCGTCGAACTTTGCAGCCAAGAATGTGATGCCTGGCTCTTTTGTTGCCTCGATAAAATCCTGCACACAACCAAATGAACCATAATCTCAAACACCAATCCTAACTCCAGACCCATCAAACTGCACATTTTTTTTATCATACTTTTACCTGATCCTCCACAACAAGATGGCCGACTTTGACACTGTCCTGGCTAAAGAAACCAGAAAGTGAACCACTTCCATAGTTGATTGCGACAGAAGTACCTGGATCAACAAGAACAATTCCACAATCAGAAGACATCCCAGTTTCCCTAGACTGCAGAAAAGCAAACAAAATCCGTACCGTTCTCCTTATACGTGCTTGAATGACTTGATTTGTACCTAGAATGAAGAAAGCAAGCGAGCTGCAATTGAAACCCAAAATGGAAAACCCTTTCTACCTTAGTCTTTAACAACCCACACGAAAGTTTTGTTCCTTTCTACAGTTTATCAACAAGCAAGGGAACAATCAAAACGGCAGAGACACTCACCGAGAAGTAACATTTTGAAGAAGGAACCCAAAGATTGGAACTTCCAGTGTCAAAGATTACAGTGAAGGTTTGAGGAGGAGACCCAACTCCAATTTCGCCATAATACTGAGCATCCAAGTAGTTCTTCAGTGTAATTACATCAGCCCCATCACTATATCCGCCATAATACTTGTTGAGCAGCGGAGAGGCTTCTAGAGGGGCAGTTGAAACAGACAAGTCAGCAATTTGGTCAAATTTCCTCTTCTTCACCGGAATCCTGACCAAACCATCGCTGCTCCAACAAGAAATTAGTGATGGAAGTATAAAGGCAAGAAAAATCCAAGCGGCTGGTAACTTCATATCGGTGCTTCTGCGAAACTGGTAAGAAGATGAGAGTGGGAAAAAGGTGCAAACTTTGGATTTTGGAGTAAGAAGGGGAGAAAGGAGGGGAAGCTGAGTAGACAATAGAGTATAGACACTATTAGACAGGGACAACCGGACAAGGATGGGGTAAGAAATTTCGTTGGAATGGAACGAGGGACGGGAAGCAGAAAAGCGGCAAAGGGAGGAATCGGGTGCAGGTTACTGTAGTGTTAGGTAATTAGGAGCCGTTCATTTAGGTAATTGCAAGTTAAATGTAGGTACAATGAAAGTAAAGTGAGTTGGCTTGTAAAAATGGTGTTGTGTCAAAAAATCACAATTTGCAATTGCACCAATGAAGATGCTCTAATAGAACCAAAAGTTATACTTAATACCTAAGTTTGGTCCGAACTATAGACAAACTTTCTATTTTGAACAGTGGTATCAGAAATTGCTATTTTGGTCTAAACTATGTAGCATATTTCCTTATTTGGCCTGGAGGCAGGTTTGATCGTCAAATTAGACGGTCAACTGAGTTGACCACTAGTCAAGGTCCAGCTCACTTGCCACGTCAGCTACCACGAAATAAATTTTTTTAATTTTTGTATGTAGTTTACTTTCTAATAATAAAAATAATAACAAAAAAATTAATTTAAAGAGCTCCCCATTTATACCCTCCCCCCTCTCACCTTAATCGGGGGAAAACTTCCCTCACCCTTCCAAACCCATCTTCTTCACCGAAACCCTATCCCTTCTCTGACGAGCTGCCGCCGCCATTGGAGAAAGAAAAATTGTGCCCTTGCATCCTACTCCTCCTCTTACTCTCTGAACCCAATTCCCTCGCCTCCTTTCTTCCATCTCACCAACACTCTTCTTACTTTATATCACTGCCTCCAGCAACAATGTCGAGGCGAGCTGGTAGAATCAGCAACCAAGCTTCAGCCTCTTTCGGTTCGTCGAACACACGAAGGTAAGATGTGAAGGCCACAATGCTCCCTGTGATGTGAATACTTATGGCACAGAGGATAATCCTGGAAGAAAATTCTATTCCGGCCCATTTTTGAAAGATGGAATGGAAAATTGTCGTTTTTTTGCTGGGTCGATGGTACATCTCAAAGTGATAGTGACTGTATGTATAGGTGTCAAAGTGAACCCGTCGGGTTGAAGCGGGTTGCACTTTTTGGTCTTTTCCCATTTTAGTTTTTGTTTCTGTATTTTTCATGGTTCAAAAAGGCACGCTTAATCTTACGCTTAGGCACGCCTAGGCGCAAGGCAATGGCAAAACGCCTCGCCTAGGGGTTTCACGCCTAATTAGATACTGGAACACGTCATGGATTAAGGCGACATATAAGTCTCTCCTGAACATTACTAGATAGAGCTAGTAAGTCAATATTAAAGGCCAAAATTAACATCAACTACGAAATCAATTTTCTATTGCAATATTTTCAATAGCTCAAGAACTTTGTGAGCTATTGAGCTATGATTATATGAATTTGTGAGCTATGTTCTTATCATTAAGTGTTGAGTAAGTTATTAATCATTTTAAATGAAGTGAGGAAGTGTTGTAGATAATTATTTCACTCATCATGCCATGCGAATAACTATTTTTCTTCCAACGCCTAGACACGCTTAGTCTACGCCTAGGCGAGCTAGGCGCAAGGCAAAGGCTCAACGCCCGCCTTACGCCTAGCGCCTTTTTAAACCTTGGTATTTTTATGTTTGGGTCGATTGGCTCTGATACCAATAATTCTTTCATGTCTCATCAACAATTCTTTCATGCAAAAACGTCTGCATAAAAGTCTCATTCTTTCATGTCTCATTTTCAATAATTCTTTCATTTTCTTTGTTTTCTATTTCTGCGAAAATTTCTTCTTTTCATTTTCTTTCATGGAATAATCCAAACAAAGGTGGTCCAAAAACATCTTTTTTTTTTAATTTTCAAAAAATCTATTGTTTTCTTCTAGAAATATCACTTCTAATTTTAAACTTATTCTATTGTTATTGATTTTATCTATTTTCTAGTTTTTTGTTTTATTTTGTTTAAACTAGTTATTATATCGGTAATTAATTCAGTTTTAAATACGGCTTCTTCCAAAGTTTCTGAATTTCCGATACACATTTGTTCTTCCACAATATCTGATACGAAGTGAGATAATTCTAATGTAAACGTATTAATGTCGTTTACTGATGTAAGGTCTATTGCTTCTATTCCTTCTATCAATTTATTTATGTAATGAGTGTTAGGCATCTTTACAATTTTTCACTCATTTCTACGATTAGTTCTTGTAACTTTTTTATTTCACTAGTATTATCATTTTGATGAAGTATAGTTATGTTTTTTATTTCCTTGTTTTCTTCTTTCTCCATTTCCTTCTGCTTATCGGTTAGTCTCATGGAAGAACTTCTCTCATCTATACTTATTCTTGGATGATCATAATTTGATTTTATTATTTTTAGAGGGGATTCTAATTGAATTAATGGTTTGAATAAATCTTCTATGGTGATGGCTTCCTTATCTTTAAACGCTAGACTATGATGACTATTGGTCAGTGCATAGTTTATTTGGTATGTTACCGAAAAAGGTTTACTGTTTTCTTTCATGAACTTTTTTCTTTTCAATTCATACTTTATAATAATGGAAGAGTCGAGATTCCCATCTGTTAAACTAATTCCTTGTTGTAGATTAATATCGAATTTGATTATTCCTACTCCTAGATTTCCTTTTCCTTTTGCAATAATACTCTCTTCTCTATTGATGAGTCGATCATCTCTTATTTCTAGTTCTATAGGTGCACTTATCCTTGTTTTCATAGTAGATTTTAGAATGATTTGTATCGTGCTAATGTGAATATAAGCTATTTTATTTCTTTCTTTCTGTTGTAACTTGGATAATTTTTTCCTAATTTGTTCCCTATTTATTATTTGAATTAGGAAATCTCCCTTAGTTTGTTCTATTGGTACTGTCGTTTCTCCTATCATTTTTCCATATTTAATTATATTTTTCCTATCAAATAGTTTGGATAAAAAATACTTAGTAATAAAATTTTGCGTTTTTGATAAGGTAAAATTAGTTTGTTCCTTAATTTTCTTTACATCTAATATTCCATCTAGAAAATAATTTTCTTCCTCATTTTACTTAAATAATCAAAGTAACTGTTACTGCTACTGGGGTTATCCGACATACCTGATTGTTGCTTAGGTTGATTGATGCAACTTCTTGCTATTGAACGTCCCCATGATGGTGTAGTGCGAGGGAGGCTGATTGCTTATGATCGTTGAAAATGGTGTTGGAGAATTCTTTGTGGTGTTAATGGTTGGTGTATAGTTTTTTATGAATAGGTGGTAGTGGATATGAGCGTCTCCAGAGTATTATCTCAAACGCTCTGTGCCGAAGCACCAAGACTATACTTAGTGTTTTGAGAGAGAAATCTCAAACTTTTATTCTACTCTGGCCCCTTATGAGGTTCAGATGTACATATTTATAGATGCAGGGGCTTTGCCTGCTTACATATGTACTTACATCATTCTCCACTTAAAAGAGAAAGCAAACACACCGTACACACGTTTTTGCCTTATGGGCTACATTATTGATCAGAAAAGAAAGAAGAATCTTTAGTCATTTTCTTTGTTTGATTCCTGAAGCATTGTCTTCTTCTTCTTGGTTGATGTTGCATTTTCTTTTCTTTGTTTGATTCCTGAAGCATTGTCTTCTTCCCCATGGTGGATTACATTTCTTTGATTCCATTACTGCTACTAGTGGAGGTAGTCATATCTGCTGCACAGTGGGTGCATATGTGAAAGAATTTTTAAGGGCCTTAAGTATTGAATCAGATAACGAAGACCACATTGAAAATGATAAAGTAGTACTAGACTACAGTAGTGATGAAAATCTATATACAAATTATATGAAAACAGAAAATAACCCAGGCGAAACATCCAACCCAATTCCATCTAAATCAAATAAAAGACGATTTAATGATTATAATGACGGTCAAATGAATTTTGACTAATATCTTTATAAAAATCATTTCGCTCCTTGTAAGGGGGGAGAATGGACGAAAATTCCTCACTCATACATTCCTAAATACTCTACAACAAGTTATAATAGTTCAGATATTCTAGATTTAGACTGTAGTACTAATCCATTAAAAGAATTAGAAGACTAGAAAAATCGAACAGGATTATTAATTCAAACTAACGAGGAATTAAGGAAACTTCAACCTAGTGAAATATTTAATTTCTTAATATACAAAACCACTGGAGCAGTTTATCACTATTTAAGTGCAATGGATATTCCTGCAAAAACAACCCTACATGGAAATGACGCTATAAAAACTTTTGAAAAAATATTAAATGCTTTAACCTATGAATTTCTAGGAAGATATCCAAGGGAAAAAGAAACTAATGCAACTCTGAGCAATCAGGCTATTTGGCACCTAACAAGCTTAAGGATCTGCAATATGTGTTATTTAGAATAATTTATTTGCGAATTTAAGATACATTATTATCAGGTTATTCCGTCAATAAGAAAAGACTTAGATAAATTATTCTTTTCTAAACTTCCTTTAATAGTAGCACAAAAAGTAGAAACTGCTTTTAATGAAGCAGTTCAAAAGGAAGAAGTACCAGATACATTAGGAGGACGAATTCTAACATTACAATAATGGCAACGAGCCTGTAATGAAGAAAAACTGAAAAAGCAAGCTAAAATTGACCTTTGCTGTGAGGCCTCCACCGATAAAATCGGAAAATACGGATATAGTGATGAACGACCAAAAATAAAGAAAAAACGGAGATACGAAAAATACAAAAAATGGCGAAAGATACCCTATAAGGAATATAAAAAAAATAGATATAGAAACCCTAATAAATATTTTAGAAACAGAATACAATTTAAACAGAAAACTAGTCAGAAAGATTATTGTCCTAAAGGCAAAACTAATTGCAGATGCTGGCTCTGCAATGAAGAAGGACATTATGCTAATAATTGCCCAAAGAAA